GTTTTCCTTGGATTGATAAAATTTGGGAAGATTTATTAAATGACCACTATAACTAATATTTAGCAAGTAGTTACACTCTGCCATTGTGCTTAGTTTCACACCTGACATCTCATGAAGTCATTCTGACTATTCCATAAAGTAGGTCCTGTTACCACCCCCCACCCTTGCAGACGGAGAAACCCAAGCCCAGAGGGATAACCTAATTTGCCCAGAGCTTCATAGCAGAGTCGGGACGTAAGCCCACATCTGCACCACCTGATGTTTCCATCCACACAGGGAGATGCTGACTGCCACAGCGAGTGGAGCGAGGGGCGGTTGGTCGAGAGAACAAGTTCAAAGATGAACATTTAAAAAAGACTTGATTCTGTTACTTCCAAGGGACTCTCCTGATAGGGGTCCCCAAGGATGTAAGTATACAGGAGTCAAATGTCACTAACAAATTCATTCTTTGAATATAACGCTGTAGCTAAAATCATAGCGTGGCCTTGGCTCCAAAACAGACTCACTCTTCCTTTTGTTGGTACCGTGAGGGGTTAGGGCAGAGGCAGAGATGGGAGAGATCACCTACTCACCTGCCTTTTCACTGAGGAGGAAACAAGAAAGGCCCCCGCAGCCAAGGGGCTGGAGTTTTACCAGCCAAGGCTCCGCCCTCAGGGGATTCTCCAATCACCGGGTGCTGCACTGGCTCGTTTTTTCTTTTCTTTTCTTTCTTTTTTTTCCCTTTCTTCCTTCCTTCCCCTCTCTCCCTCCCTCCCTCCCTCCCTCCCTTCCTTTTTAAAAAAATAACCCTAGTGGGCTTAAGGGGTGGTTCTAGTCTTTCCTGCATCAGAGCTGGCATTTCTCCTTAGTGGGGTTTTGGCATCTCCCAGCCTTCCCTGTTCCTCATGGAATCCACTTCTTGTGGGAACAGCAGTGAGTCCTCTCTGACAGTCTAACGGATACTAAACTAGAGGAAGCAACAATAACACCATCCATCTGGTCAGCAAACATTTGTGAAATGCCTGCTACCTGCCCTGGTTTTAGGCGCAATGCTGTGAAGGGTGAAAGAGGTGAAAACGCTGCGTATTGACCATCCAGGAGCTGCCAGTCGCTTTTCCTGCACTGTCTCACTTCCTCTGAAGAGCAGCTGCCTTGTGACTTTTTCTGAAAGCAAACTCTGTGCCAGGCACTGTTTCTGGCATTTTCCTATGTACTAACTCATTTCATTCTTATCTCAACCTTATGAGTTAGGCATTGCCCCCATTTCACAGCTGGGGGCACCAAGGGTACTTAGCCCAGAGAGGGTACTTAGGTCCAAGGGCCAAGTCCCAAGGTTCTGAAGCTGGGAAGGGACAGAGCTGGGGAATGAACCTGCCGCGCCGCACTCTTCCCATGCAGGGCCATGGCCCTAAGGAATGTCTGGAAGCACACCTTTCACAGAAACGGAAAGGTAATAGGGAATCTAGTCTAATATCCTACCAGCTGTGCCTTGGAGAGGGAGGGAAACCTACCTGAAGTCACAGCCCCTTAGAGGCACAGCTGGAACCAGTCAGGTTTGCCATCTCCCAGGCTGATGGTCTTCCCCTCCCAATAGCTGCTGCAATGATCAGCCCTGTGCCTAGCCCCTTCCTTCTAGGCCACCCCGTGCCTGGGGCTCAGGCCCAATGACTTGGCAAGATTCATGGGCATCTGGGGTGCTGCCAAGGGGCACCTTGAACCCTCCAAACTCCTTCTTCTGTGCAGCCAAACCCTGCTGGCTGCTGATGCTCTGCAAGGAGCCAAATGTTAGAGAGAGTAATAGATTTTCTACTTGCGCTCAACCTCACTGGCCCTGGTCCATGTCCTGCTTTTCCATAAGTCTATACCTTCCTTGAGACCTGGACTGGCCCGAGCCATGCCCTTCCCGGTGCTGGCCATGTCGAACTGCGACAGCTGGGCCGGGCCGTCAGCCCCGTTCCCTACTTTGTTTGGTCGTGGCCAGGCCAGTTGTTCCCACCCCCCATGGCAGCCCATGGCCCCACCCTGGGCTCACCCACTTGCCCTCGGTGTCCCTCCTGTCAATGCTCCCCTCAAAATCCCAGCTTGTCAAAGAAACCATTTGGAAATGACCCACCTCTGCCCCAATAGAGGAGTGCAAAGCGCATGCATTGACAGGGAATACGCAGAGGTTAACAATCTCCCTTGAAAAGCTCAGGAATAACATGGGACAGACTTGGGCTGTGACAGAGTAAGTGAGCGGGTGTGCCCAACGGCCACGGCTGCGCCCAACCCTGCACTTGAAAAAGGACCTGCACGGGTTATTTTTTAAAATGGTAACCTAGCTGTGTTAGGAGAGTGAGGTTGTAATAATGTTCTCCTCTGGTTTTCAAACTTTGTATAATGCAGCTAGATTGCTTTTATAATAATAACAGCAATAAAACCAGGTCCCTCCTCGACTCTACTTTAATTATTCACCCTTCACACTCTCCAGAAGCCACATTTTTCTGAGCTACACTGGGGTCTTCCTTTGAGGAGCTGCGGCTGGTGGGTAGGTGACTCAGAGGTGCTCCGGAGCCCCTTCCCTGGGGGTAGAGACAAGAGTTCACCTGTCTCCTCCTTCACATCCACACACACACACACCAGTCCGCATTCACACACACAGCCACCCTCTCATGCGCGGGCACGCATACACACACACACACACACTCACACACACACTTCGCTCACGCACACTCATGCCCACACCCACTTTTCCCATGCGCTCAGGTGCTCTCACCTGGCACTCTGCCCCAGTTCTCAGCAACCAGTGCGGTGCTGGTCCCACAAAAAGGGCCACAGAGTGGGTTTTTTTCCCCCAACACTTGTTGACTTGGTGGGGACAGAGCTGGGTTTTGGATTAACCCCCCTAGATTCATACTTTCACACTGCCAGAACTACCTGAGCTCTCATCTGGCAGAGCTTAAGTAACTCATAATATTTTCTGATAAAAGCTAATCAAACAAAAACTTAGAGCCCAGTGTCTGGGTTTGAATTCTGGCTCCATCACTCACTGGCTGTGTGATCTTGACCAAGTTACTTAGCCTTTCTGCGCATCAAGAATAATTCCTACTTCCCAGGGCTGTTGTGAGGGTTAAATGACTTAATCTTTGCAGTGGCAGGCAAAACAATGACCAGCAGGTTGTACATGATACATACATAAAAGAAAAAAGTGATTCCTAAATTGGAACCAGCATTAGCTGCCCATTCCTGTGCTGACTCTCACTCATTTGGTCCTGAGCATGTACTGAGTTCACTACAGCCACCTCACCATCTAGTGGGACAAACACAGGCAACAACAGAAGAGAATATTTTTTTTCTTTTAGGAGTACGTGATAATTCTAAGCAGAGACTTGCACACAATTCTAAGAAAGGCCAAAGAAAGAACATCTACCTACTACCAAGTAAACTTAAAAAGGAATAAAAATAACAACAACAAGAAACTCTACAGTTCAATCCTTTGAATCCATTTAAAACTTCAAATTCAAATTCGGTCTAACTGATGTGGGAATTTAGACCAAGCTCGGTGCACACGAGCCTTTTGGAAAATATTCCCATTCAATGCTATCTCTTCAACCTTCCTGGATGTTTTTCTTCCTAACCCCCTCTTCCAGCCTCTTTGATCAGCCAGGAAATAATCTGAGTTCACCCCCTGTCCTCAGTTCATGGGTCGTAAAAGGGATATAGGTTCCATCGAACCAACACTCAGGCATTTTTTTTTTTTTTAAACGTATAAATACCTGGGAGAAGGAGGCAGAGGATGGAGAAGCCCCGGTAACTCATAGCCTCCCAGCTGATGAACTGGCGGCAGCTGAATTTTAAAATCTTGGTGGTTTCACTCAAACCACTTTGTGAGTTTTTGGTATACATACAATTGGTTTTAACAACCAACGGAAAAATGAAATTAAGTCAGTCCCCTCCTCCCCGCTTCAATCCTCGTGAATGTAATCGCTTTTTAATGCACCGAACGCAGTCAAGCTGGCTCAGGCGGTGGACCCTGCGGAGTCCGGATCCTTCGGCGCTCGCCGTGCGGAGCTTCCCCGCGGCGGCGCGGAGGCCCACCCGCCTGGCCCTCCCGCTGCAGCCTACGTGCCCACACCCTGCGTTCGGACCCACTTTGGACAGCGCCGGGCAAGGGGAAGGGGCGGCTATCACTAGCCGCGGTCCCGACTGCTGACCCTGGCCCTTCCCCGGGGAACACCGCCTGCTGGCAGCGCCCTCCCGCCCCCGAACTTCAGCCGGCAGAGGCTGGACGTGCGGTCCGGCGACTTTCCTAAACTCCCAGCGCCGGGATCCGTCGCCAGACCCGGGGTAGGAGCGACTCGGCGCGAGCCGCGGCGCCGCGCCGGGACCCGGAGTAAAAAGGCTCGGAGAGCGGGCCCTGCGCTCCCGCCGCGGGCGGGCGGCGGCGCAGGCACCGTACCCACCACCGAATGCACTGTCTCCTCCTGGAGACTGCGATATTGATCAAAGGCTCGGAAGCGCGGGGGACAGTTATTTCCCCTGACTTGTAGCTTTCCGCGGAGGGGAAGGGGCAAGAAGGCGCTCGCAGAAACAGGGCGGGGGCGTGCGGAGTGGGGGAGCTGATGGGAGGCGTTTGGGTGGAGAGCCCATCCCCAGGGCCTCCAGTCCCGGGGCTGGGGTCAGCCTGGGAGGCTAGGAGGTGGAACCAAGCTTGGACTCCCCGAGCCGAAAGCGATTCTCCGCGCAGAGCTGGGTACCCGGGTGGGCGGACCCCCTCCTCCGACAGCGTCCCGGCAGCTTCGCCGCCACGATTTCTTTTTTCACCTGGGTTCTCCACCCCCCCCCCCGCGCTCCCACCCACCCAATGCCGGCTCCAAAGGTCCAGGAGCAGGATTTGGGCTGCCCTTCAAACCCCATCCTCGCCCGAACCTGTGCTCAGCTCTGCCCAGGGATCCCCCCATCACAGCCCCAGCCCACCCACGTCCCGGGCCGGCCCGGGGCTGTGGGCGCACGCGCTCGAGGGCTGACCGGCGCGCTCGTACCTTGACTATCTGGAGCTGCGGGCGCCGTCCCATGCTCGGGCTCTCTCGATCACCGTCCTGAAAGCCTGGGTCCCGCGGACATCCCAGAGGAGCGGGCGGCGGGTGCGGGCTCGAGCAGGCGGGGTGAGCGGCCGCACTCCTCTGTCGCTGCCCGGCCCGGCGGGCTCTCGCTCTCCCCTCCCTAGGGAAGCCGGGCCGCCGTCTCCTGACTCAGCCCGGCCCGCAACCACCTCTCGCCCGCGGGGAGTCCGCCTTGCCTCAGCCGCCTACCCCTCGGTCCGCGTCGCGCTCGCCTCGGCTCCCCGCCCCCTCGCCGCGGCGTCCCCTCCCCTCTGGAGCTCTCCCCTCCCTTCCACTTCAGCCCCTCCTCTCCGCTTCGCCCCTCCGTCCCCTCCTCCACCCCGCCTCCTGTCCCCTCCCCTCCCGTCCCCTCCCCTGGGCCCGCTCCCCGCGCCCTCGCCGCGCTGACCCCCTTTCCCTGCGCCCGGGTTTGCGGCAGTCGGCGGGACGCGCTGGCGGCGGTGGCGGCCGCCGCAGTCTTAGGGAGAAGCCGAGGATGGGGGGGCGGGGGACAGGAGAGGAGGCAGCCTTCCACCTCCCGCCCTGCTGGCGGTCGGGGCCTGGGGAGTCCAAGGAGTCTGAGGGAGACTCGAGGGACTCTGGTGAATCTAAGAGAGCGAAGCTATTGGAGGCCCCGACTGAGCAAAGCCGCCGCGGAAGCCGGGTGAAAAAAAATGGGAACTGCGTTTGGGCAGTTCCCGCCCTGCAGCGGGCCAGGACCAGGTCCTCGCCCGCCCCCGCTTCGGCAGGGGCAGGGGCTTTGGGCCCGACCCTTTGGCACTGACATGCTAGGTGCTTGCAAAGACGTGAAAGCTCTATGTGGTGAACCCTTCTCATTTATTCATTCATTTTAATTGATTTGTTTTTGCTCGTTTATCCATTCATTCATTCTACAAACTAAGTGCCTGCCCAGGGGCTGAACCTGGCAACCCCAAGAGATGGGGAGACGGCGGTGCTCTGCAGGACTCGCTGGCATGTGAACCCAACGGAGGGGAAAGCGGGCGCGCATTGCATTACAGCGGGGCGGGGGCGGGAAGCAGCTAGGAATCCAGCGGGCAGAGCGGGGAGGAGGCCACAGCGCCCCCTTTCGGCCTAGCCCTCAGGGTAGGGTCGGCCGCCCCGCCAGACCTCCGGGTTTTCATCCGCTGGGCACCCTAGCTCCTAGTGTACCCCCAACTCTAGAAAGCAGCTCCTGCCTCTTCCATCCCCTTAAGCTTTCCCCTCCAGCGCTTCCAGTCAGGCAGAACTGACTTCTGTCTTTTTTCTTCCCGAAGCACCACTCTGAACCTAACTGCCCTGGATTCTGTGCCCCGCCGTGCCCACCTCTCTCTTCCCTTCCATCCACTTTTCAGCACATTGGACAAGAGCTAGTGCGTTCATGGGTCTAACTGATTCTTCATTTGGGGAGGGAGTTATATTGTAAGAGGTCGTTTGATCCAATATGCAAATTACTCAAGGAAACTGAGGCCCAGAGATGGATGGTCCAAAGTCACATACCTGGTAAGCTTAGCCCTCAGTCCTCTGAATCCCAGCTCAAAGTGCCTCTACGGGTGGGCCTGATGAGGTTTGGGGCTCTGAAGTGGAGAGGGACATTGCTTTGGAAGCCATCTGGTCACACTGGCTTAGCCATACAGGGTGGCACTTTCTAGATGAAGCACTCAGTCTGGCATCTTGCAAAACTCCCATTTGGTTAGTGCTCCAGAGCTGGTTTATTGAGCTTGGCACTGACTTACCCCAACCAATCCCAGAAGAGATGGGTGCACCAACCAGATTGCCATTTTATTGTTCTCAACAAAATTGGCAGGGTGTTCTAGTGTAGTGCAGGCTCTGTGTCAGACAGCCTGAGTCTGAGCCTTGGCTCTTCTGCTTACGAGCTGTGTGAAACCGGGGAATTATTTAACAGTGCCTCAGTTTTCTCATCGATAAAATGGAGTTAGGAATACCTACCTCATAGTTAGGTTTAAGTGAATTATTACTTTTAAATGGCTTAGAATGATGCCTGGTCTATAACAAGGGCTTAAAGAAGGTTAGCTATAATCACTGTCACTATCATCATCCCTGAGGGGACCAGGTGCTCAGATAGATGGGCAGCATGGTCCCTCTCTCTAGGCAATTCTTTGTGGAAACCAGAATTCTTGATGAGAAGGTCCTAGCAGCAGAAGATTGTGGAATCAGAGGAGAGAAAGCTGGCGGGTCCTCAGGGAGGTCTGCCCAGATCCTGCAGCGGCATCGCTCCCCAGCCTTGCCCCGAGGCCTTGGAGCTGACTCTCCAGGGACCAGACAGCTCCAGGTTTCCAGATTCCGTGTTTCTCTCTGCTAAATAAACACCATCGAATTTTGCCTTTCTGAGCCCTGATCTTCCCCTTGACTTGATCTTTAAATATGCTAATGCGATCGATCAGGCAGTAATCAAGTCTTGCTCTTCCTCATTTTTAGGCCTGGGATTTGGACCTTCTCTTTCTAAAGGGACAGCTACAGATGGCACATTTCATCTCCCTCTTCCCCCCCGAGCAGAGAGGAGGAAGGCTACTGTATCACCTCATGACCTACTTATTTGTGGTTTTGGCCTTGACTGCCTCCGGGGGTTATGAGAGCCTCGTGTTTAACACCTCTTCTGTAAAAGGGTTCCATACTGTCTTTCGTTTGTCCTGAAACTGCCTCTTTCCACTTTCAGATCCCGGCTCTCATCCGCTCAGATGCTACCACCAGGGCCTTCCATGCTCAGCTGCCTCAACCTTCGTACACCCCAGTCCCAGCCTCTCCGGACTGATGCCTCAGGGTGGTCTCCTTAGGCAGCGTCTCCACCCGCTCCGCCGGCCAGCCTTCTGCTCCATTGCAACATTCTCTTCCAAGCCCAGTCCTTCCCAAACTCTCTTCCAACGCCTCTCTGGCCTTCTCCTCTTCCTGTCTAGGCCCAGACCACCGTCGGCTTTCATTCATTTAGCCTGTCACACGTGGAAGAAAGGGAAAACATGAGGAATCCCAACAGGAGTCAAAGACAATTCTGTGTCTTTCCAGATGTGATAACAAGTAGTGAGGGGCAGGACCGGCAAGAGCAAGGGAGGGCTGAGGCTGCAGGACCGCGTTGGCTTTAACCTTGAGCAGCCCAGTGAGGTCCGTGGTCTGGAACCACACTTAGGTTACTTGTGCCAAAGAACTGGTTCTTGATTTTTAAATTTCTAATCTGTTGCAAAATAATACAACTGCAAATTACAGTGAGAATGAGTTGTTAGAAAAATGAAATAAAAAATAAAGACATACAAAGTAAAAGTTCAATTTTTAAAACTATTAGATCCAATGGACGTCAAACACTCTGTCAAAGTGCTTCAGAATTTCACTCTCAGTAAATGCTCATTCAGAGTAAATGCTCATTCTCAGTTTCTGCACTTACCTTGTCATGAACTTGCAGCAAGTAGTTTGCAGACAGATCACGCTTGGAACAGCACTGGTCTAGAATGTTTCTGAAGTCTGAGGTCAGGAAAATGGCCTCATTGGGGACGCAATTTATAAAACCACATGAACGTCAGGGGAGGTAATGTTAATTACTCCATTCACCTGTGCCTTCATTCAACAAACATTTAATGAGCAGCAACTATATGCCAGTCACTGTTGGATGCTAAGGTTAATAAAGAATAATGTAACAGGACACTAGCCCTCAATATGTTCACAGATGGAAGGGGAGACAGTCACTCTGATGAATAATTAAAATCCAGTAACATTAGGTCAATGATAGGCTGTGGGCATGGAGGCAGGAATATTCGTTCTCCCCGGGCTCAGCAGCAAAGATTCTAGCTTGTGCTGCGGTCTGGAGGCAGCTGGCACCCAATAAATAAGTTTGCTTGTGTAAAGTGCTTAGCACGGTGCCTGGCATTTCCATGGTGTTTGCTGTTTTTATTATTGAATCTTATATCTTATCATCATCATCATCATCATCCATTTAGATCTGCCAAGCACTGTACTTAACTTTGGCTTGGGGTTGTGGGATTATATAGGTAGCTCAGCTGGAGGGAGAAGGCAAACTGATCTTAATCTCCCTCCTTTGTCAGAGGGAAGACCTTCCAGAGGAGGAAGGCTGGGAGGTGGGTATTGAAGGAAGTGGGTGTAAACAGGTGGAAAAAGAGGGAGACCTTCAAGGCGAGGGGGTCTCTTAGAGACCCGCAGCCAGAGGAATAGGTATGGTGCAGGGGAGGAGGCTGGTCTGAGGGGGACGAGGGATGGAGGTGCAGTGAGTAGGTAAGGCTTGGCAGAGTTGGGGGCAGACAATGCGGAGCTGATGATCTCCTTGAATAAGGGGCTTGCAATTTTCATCCCTCATTTAGAACAGGTAATAACCATATGAATTAGGATTTGTATGATAGTTGGTAACATGCAAAGCTCTTTCACGAACATTTTCTCATTTAATCCTTACAACAACTCTGTGAAGGCCGTATTAATAACCTTACTTCACAGATGAGAAAGCTAAGCTCAGAGGTTGTCCCTTGCCCAAGGTCACATGGATGGCTTTGCAAAGGAAGGATTCCAACCTGATGTCCCCAGCTCCTGCGCCAGGTATTTTCCAGTGTACCATGGAGAGGTGACCTGAGCGTAGATTCCCCTGGGAACTGGGGTACCATTTTGGAGGCCCCGACTCCAGGAAAATGGTGTTCTCGGACCAGTCTTTCCTTTTTGCTTTTTCCAGTGGATGGACAAAGAGGGGAGCAGAGACAGGGCACAGAACAGAGTTTGGTAGTGAGAGCAGGCAGGGGTGGGCCACTGAGCTGCAGACAGATCCTCAGGTGACCTACTGGCTTCTCCTTCTGTTCTCAAGTCTGAGTCTGTACCAATAGAGGGCAAGTGTGCTTTCTCTGGGCACAATTACCATATTTTTGCATTTATTAAGTGTGGCTGAGAGGGACATTGAAGGTGTTTGTTTTTAAGAAAACTTGAAAGGTACCCTGAAGTAAGAAAGGTTGACATCCTGGAAGTGACAACAGATCAGAGGTGCCAGCCAGAAATGCAGAGTGAAAAGCAAAGGCACATACTCATGTATCG